GCAAAAAAAAAAAAAAAAATGCAGTGATTGAAAAGGTTGAAAAATTAAATGGGTATCGAAAAGTGACGTCTTATTTTAATTGAAAGCTGGTTTGTTGTATTACACAGCGGAGCGTTTGAGTTAATGACCGTCGAGGGTCGTATACGTTGGAAATCGAGTAGCTTCAAGGAAAACGGCCGAAAGGACAAAATTTCAGAATTTTTACTCCCGAGAGCAAGCACTTTAATTTATTTTTATCTCTTAAACGACTGATTCCAGTTTTAACCCACCAATTGAATTCTTTCAAGATATGTTTTCTTCTCCTCCGATTTACTTCAGCCAACATAATATCATATGGGACTATAACGTTTGACAATTACATAATATTTTTAATAATCAAGTGAATTCAAGTGATGCGTATTTATTGTTATTTTTTGAAAAGTTTTTTCCATCCTGAACAATTACTAAATGCGATTATTTTGTGTTACTTACTTGGTACATGCCTTGAGTTGTTTTTTCCGCTTCTATGTGAATTTTTGCATTTAACTGAAATACTCATTATCAATATTATGGTTCGGATGCTGAGAAAAATACTCTCACCAACTCCTAGCTCTTATCCATTAATTGTAATTTTTTAAATTACTACTTTACACTCATTATTATTTTTGATATTTTCGTTAACAACTATTTTATTCTCTGTTGTCGGATTAAAAAAATGATAGGTAACTTTTTTTATAATTACATGAATTTCCTGGTAGAAGTGTAGGTGTTATGTAGTTTATAAATGGAGTTATACTTACTTGCATATAGTTGCATTAGTTCATACAGATTTTCAAATAAGTAACCACTTACAGTGGCCAACTAAATTTGACCAAAAAAATAATGATGACGATGATTGACCAAAAGTGATCATTTGACAGAACAAAACCAACAGATGACCAAAAGTGACGCTATGCCAATTACAGTATAATTGCGTCTAGTTCTAGTGTTTGTTTTTGTGGCAATATCGGTAATTTTATTTTGCGAGTTGATTTTAAAGAAAAGTACCGATTAATACCTTGAAAAATGGAGAGGGATAAAAGTACTTCATCGATGTATTTTTTTCCTCATTTATATTGAAATAAATTATCATAGAAATTTTTGCTGATATAAATAAATAGGTAATAAAATCAAAACTAAGAATAAAAAGTTTAGAAGTAGCGAGAAATTAAAATTCGAGATATCTTCTGCCAAATAAATAACAGTCATTTGTTCTTTGTAGTGAAACCACAATTAAGTCAATGTATAGAATGCCACTATACCAAAAATGTAGGATGGCTTTTGAATATTTCATTGTCATAACAAGTGTTACATATTCAAGTGTGAAAACTGTAATATGTACTATTTTATGTTTATTTTTTGAAATATATACACACTCGTTGTTAACATACACTTCTTTTATTACGTTTTTCAGCCGATAAAAATTATCCTTGATAAGAAAGCAAAGTCACACGAACATTTGATTCAATATGTAATCAATTTGTTTTTTTATTTCCTAAATAGTACCTTTTTTCTACTAAAAGTCGAGAAGTTTTCTACATAGTATATAAAAAAAATTCACAAAAGGAATAAATTTCAATTTTTTATTTTTTTTTTTTAAGAACACACAAATTTCTGAACTGATAAAAAATATAGCAGTTGTGCCTTGTATCAGTTTTTTTTGCAGTATTAGTTTTTTTCAAATATTATGTCCACTAGCAATACTTAGATCTACTACTGAAAAATCAACGAACCAAAGGAATAATTTAATCGAGAAAAAAAGGCAAATTACATTAAATCAATTCTAGTAATTAATTCAAACGCTGGATCGCGGAGTTCATAAATTATTCATCGGATCTATTGTTATTTATTTAATTGCACGCACGTGCGAGTATATATTAAAGAACGAGGGATTTCAGTCGGTTTGAATTTGAAATTAAATTGTAAACAGTTGGTTTTCGGCTCGAAATACATTTTCGAACCCGCGAGTTAATGACCTCTATAGCGATGGACTCTAAAATCGTCAAGAGTTATTGTTATTACCCAACAGAGCTGTAGGCATTAGAAAATAGTTATGCACGTATGAGAGAGAAAAAAACACGAAAGTAACTAATTTCCAAGAAAAAGATAAAATAAGTAACATCCATAATAATGAGAAGCAAAAAAAAAAAAAAAAAAAAACGGGGGAGAAGGAGGGGGTGAAGGAGACAGATGGATGAATCTACCACCCCCGCCGGGGTCGGGACGTGTACGATAAGGTTCAGCGGGACCGTTACGCTAGAGATTCCATTTGGAAAACATCGCGATACATCAGCCGCGTGTATACTTGTGGTATATGTACCTACTTGTACGTGTTGTATTCAATGAGCTGCCGAGGGCCGGCGATGATGTTCCGGCAATAGCGCGTGTGGGTATATTTATTATTGGTGGATGGGTATATGGGAGCGTGTATACTGAGGAGGTGACGAGGCCAGCGGCCGCTGATTAACGCGGCGATGATGAGAAGTGCTGAGAGAAAAAAAAACGGGGTTTTCGAAAATGAAAATTTGATTGAAAAAAAAAAAAAAAAAAAAAAGGGGGGGGTTTGGNTACTCTTTAATTTAATTTTTATTTAAAAATACGTATACTAAGGTAAAAATACGTGAGTTCGGAAATACCTAAAAAGAGCATAGCTTTTGTCATTTAAAATTCAATTGTATGTAATAAATTTACGTAAAATAGGACTCTATGATAAGAAGTTAATAAAAAAAAAAAGTATGTACACAAAGTAGCAAAGAAGAAGAGAAGGTGAACAACTGGCGAGATGCGCTCGAGATGAGCCGTGCTGGAACCAGTTTAATTAATAATGAATGCAGACTTGCCACACGGATGAGGTGCGCGTATGGAAGAAAGTGTTTTTTTAATAAGTAGAGGGGCCCCGAGTCCATGAAACCATCACCTTTGAGGGCGTATGTATATAGCTCCAAGGCCACTGGAGCCATCACGGCCTAGGGTCACATGTGTGTAAGACGCCAAAAGAGAAAAACGCCGAAAACAATAAAAAAATATCCTCATGAAACCACTCGTATTCATCTCCCCGCAGTTACATCCACAGTAAATCTACATCATCTCAGATTTATATGAAATATATATATATATATATATTCACAATGTCATTCACTTCCCCCACTGCACACGTGATTGAATACCAGAGAGAAAATTTATTGCGTTCGGATACTTAACTTGATATAAATTATAAATAATAATAATAATAATAATAATAATATAGTGGACGAAAGTTTTCAAGAACCTTAAAATATGTCGCTGTACTACAAAAAAAAGCATCAATAATGTTTTGGCTCGTAATTTTCTCGTGCTTGGCACAATATATTATACTTCGTGTTTCGTTAAAATAAAATATTATTGATTTGTTAATTCAAGACAATCCAAAACCATCGATAAATCACTCGAAAAATTTATCTTTAATATTCTTTGTGCAAAAAAAAAAAAAAAAATGCAGTGATTGAAAAGGTTGAAAAATTAAATGGGTATCGAAAAGTGACGTCTTATTTTAATTGAAAGCTGGTTTGTTGTATTACACAGCGGAGCGTTTGAGTTAATGACCGTCGAGGGTCGTATACGTTGGAAATCGAGTAGCTTCAAGGAAAACGGCCGAAAGGACAAAATTTCAGAATTTTTACTCCCGAGAGCAAGCACTTTAATTTATTTTTATCTCTTAAACGACTGATTCCAGTTTTAACCCACCAATTGAATTCTTTCAAGATATGTTTTCTTCTCCTCCGATTTACTTCAGCCAACATAATATCATATGGGACTATAACGTTTGACAATTACATAATATTTTTAATAATCAAGTGAATTCAAGTGATGCGTATTTATTGTTATTTTTTGAAAAGTTTTTTCCATCCTGAACAATTACTAAATGCGATTATTTTGTGTTACTTACTTGGTACATGCCTTGAGTTGTTTTTTCCGCTTCTATGTGAATTTTTGCATTTAACTGAAATACTCATTATCAATATTATGGTTCGGATGCTGAGAAAAATACTCTCACCAACTCCTAGCTCTTATCCATTAATTGTAATTTTTTAAATTACTACTTTACACTCATTATTATTTTTGATATTTTCGTTAACAACTATTTTATTCTCTGTTGTCGGATTAAAAAAATGATAGGTAACTTTTTTTATAATTACATGAATTTCCTGGTAGAAGTGTAGGTGTTATGTAGTTTATAAATGGAGTTATACTTACTTGCATATAGTTGCATTAGTTCATACAGATTTTCAAATAAGTAACCACTTACAGTGGCCAACTAAATTTGACCAAAAAAATAATGATGACGATGATTGACCAAAAGTGATCATTTGACAGAACAAAACCAACAGATGACCAAAAGTGACGCTATGCCAATTACAGTATAATTGCGTCTAGTTCTAGTGTTTGTTTTTGTGGCAATATCGGTAATTTTATTTTGCGAGTTGATTTTAAAGAAAAGTACCGATTAATACCTTGAAAAATGGAGAGGGATAAAAGTACTATGCTTGCATTGTTGCAGCTGCTTCATAAATACAATTTTAAGGTAATGTTTATCGTTGTTGCCATACCAGCTTCCACTTGTAACCTATAAATTTATTTTTGTTTTGCCCAACGATGATAAAAATTTCGTGCCTTATTTCAGGAAACTGAAGAATTATTTAGAAAGGAAGCTAATCTTCAAAATGTGTCTATTGAGGATACACCACAAAATGATTCTGAGGTTAACAGTGTTCTGTCAGCGTACAAAAGTGAAGGTGATCCAGCTCTTTATGAAAAGTCATATGGAGAACTTAAAAAATTTGTTGAAAGCTCCTTGGACATTTATAAGGTCAGCAGCTATTAACATTGTTTATACCTCCAAAGTTGTAGCCTTTAATACAAATGATGAGCCAACTGTCATTATATTTTATAGCATGAACTGGGCACTATCCTCTACCCTGTACTGGTGCATATGTATCTGGAGCTAGTGTACAACAATCACTCAAATGAGGGGAAACAACTGATTGAAAAACATAGTAATAGCTTGGAAGAGTATTATCAAAATGATTTGAAAAAGTTGTCACATGTGTCAAAACGAGAGCATATGGCTGGAAATGAGTTAATAGACACTTTCAAGTAAGTTTTGTACTTGTAATGGTATGATAAATTGTGCTCTCCAAATTAATTTTTCTTCCATTTGCAGGTCAAATCAATTCATTATTAGAATGTCTCGTGATACATTGTCGATATTAAAAAGATATCTTCAAGAAAAGAAGCACAGTATCTTATTAAATATAATACAGGAGCATTTATATTTTGATATGTATGAAGGTGTTGCAAGGAATAAAAGTCAAATTGACGCAACATCTGGTGCTTTGGTAGGAGAAGCAACAAGACAAGATAACAAAACTAAAGTATACTATGGGCTTTTAAAAGAACCAGATATTCAAAATATTGCAACGAAAGACGAAGAGGAGGAGGAAGACAATGGTGGACCGGACTCTGACAAACCAAAGAAGAAAAAAGCAAAAAAAGATCCTTTGTTCTCTAAAAAAACTAAATCTGATCCGAACGCTCCACCAATAGGAAGGATGCCTTTACCTAATTTGTATGTAAACTCTTTTTTTTAAAACCATTTTAATAATAAAATGTAGGCCTAATAATCATTTTCAATTTAGGAAAGATGTAGACAAGCTTGAAAAAATAAAAGCACTCAGGGAAGCTTCAAAAAGAGTTGTACTTGGTCCAGAAAGTCTTCCATCCATATGTTTTTATACATTATTGAATTCTGTAAATAAGTAAGTTTCATTCCTGTTATGAATTAGAGTTATGTTGAAACAAAAATTGCATACCTGTATAACTTTTTCTCGCAAAAGTGTTATATGTGCTGAAGTCGCAGAAGATTCTAGCTTACTAGCTGTGGGTTTTCGCGATTCTTTAATCAGAGTTTGGAGTTTGGTTCCCCAAAAACTTAGAATGATGAAGGATGCTGACCAACTTGTAGAAGTTAATTATGAATCTGGTATGTACACCATGCACGATAATATTAGACAAACCACGGAATGAAAATTAATCAAAAAATAATTTTCCAGAGGATGTTTTGGTTAGAATGATGGATGACAAGACTGCAGAATCAGTACGATCACTGTATGGTCACAGTGGACCGGTTTACTGTCTTTCTTTCAGTCCAGATAAAAATTTACTACTCTCTTGTTCTGAAGATGGAACAGGTACATTCAGCACTACATACATGTCATACACTAAGCACAAAGCTCACAGTTAGAATTTTGGAAATTGAACCTATTATATATTTCCACAGTGAGATTATGGTCTCTTCACACATGGACGTGTGTCGTTTGCTACAAAGGACATTTATTCCCGGTATGGTCAGTTAAATTTTCACCTCATGGCTATTATTTTGCCACTGGGTCTCACGACAAAACAGCAAGGCTTTGGGCAACCGATTCTCATCAACCCCTTAGAATTTTCGCAGGTCATTACTCCGATGTCGATGTAAGTGATCATCAATGTCTAATTATTCGTACTATCAAAAGAAGTTTCATTTTTTTTTTTTTTTTAATTGTCATTTCAGGTTGTTCAATTTCATCCCAATTCAAATTATATAGCTTCAGGATCGAGTGATATGACGATCCGATTATGGGATTGCGTTACAGGCAATCAAGTGAGATTAATGACTGGTCACAAGGCGCCTATCTATTCTTTGGCTTTTTCTGCTGAAGGGCGGTTTTTAGCATCCGCAGGTGCAGACAGTAGAGTTTTGATATGGGACCTTGCTCATGGGCATTTAGTTGCAGCGCTAGCTAGTCACACGGCAACCATCTACTGCCTATCATTTAGTAGAGATGGAAATATTTTGGTATCAGGTAGATGGAGGATTAAAATTTTAAATATATTTAATACCTTTTTACTGAAGTAATGTGATCTTACTTTATGATCTTTAGGTTCTCTTGACTGCTCCATCAAATTATGGGATTTCACAAAGTTAGCTGAAGAAATGAGTTTAGAAGATGTAAACGTTTCGCACAATCCCGACGTAAAAACCAACACAGAATCCTATCTATTAAGAAGCTTTGGAACAAAAAGCTCAACTATTATTGCCTTGCATTTCACACGGAGAAATTTGTTATTGGGTTTTGGCTCTTACTTGGTAACTTTATAGTTTTTTTTATTGTAAAATAATACTATAACGATTCATGTAGTTCGTAAGATATTGTGTCGCGGATACCCGGTGATATTCCCGTTTGCCTAATATTTGAAAATTCTCCGCGCTCTAACGCAAATTCCGATTTACTTAACTCTTTCTACTGCAAAGAAGGTATACGATAGATAAAAAACGTCAATTATTTCCAACATTGAAATATGTGTAACTTTTTTAATAAAACATATTTATAAAATGGCACCGATCTCATTTTTACACGCATAGGCATGAAAAAAGTTCTAAGTCATAAATAAATAAATAAATTAAAAAAAACAATTATTCATAATAAACTATTTCGCAGTACCAAATAAAAGTAGTAATCATAAGTAACACAAACAGTCGTTCGAAAGGTCATGTATATACAGTTTGCATTTTATTTTTCAGCAAGCAGGAACTATTTGATCTGCTTTCATACAGAAGTGTAATAATCTCTTGTAATTAACACACAATAAATACACGTGAGAGTAACAACGTATATCACGGATACTGGATCAGAAATGCAATTATCTTAGCAGAATAAAAAAAAAAAATTATTCGACGACAGGAGGTTTGATGCAAGTTGAAAAACCTTCAGTATTTTTGTAAATACTCATTATTTATTTGTAGCTTTGATGAAAAAACTTTATATGTCATTGAATAAAATTCCATTTTTTAAAATACATCTTTTTGTTCAATCTCTTTCAAAAAAAAAAAAAAAATTCGCCATGAATATATCAATGAGTCTTTGATTCGAGTCCGTGGCTCGATAATTTTGCCTTTCCAAGATATTGTCGACAACTTACACAATAAGTCGAGGAAACAGCGCTTCGAAAAGAAAGAAAGATAAAAAAGTAAGCCTTGTTAGTCAAAGCTCGGAATAAAAAGGCCCAGAAAGATCCTACGGCAAAGAAGGAAGTCAGACAGCGAAGAGACCACGAATGAATATGCATATTTTGCTCGAGATCCGAGGAACGCAGCGCGATTCCCGGTGCGAGTATTGTACGCACAAAAGAGAGACAATAAAAGCCAGAGAGGGAGGAAGGAAGGGAGGAAGTAGCCCGAGTTGGCACGCGTGCGGCCGCAGGGGCGGCAACGCTATCTTTGGAAAAGAAGACAGGCAGCCGAGCCAAGCTAATGACGGCGGCTCTGAATGGAGGGCGACGGAGGTGTACCAGGTGTGCATTATCTAAGGGATGAACTCCGCGAGCCGCAGCACTATACATTGGGAGAAAGGGAGCCCACCACCGACCAGATGTTAGTAATACCTACGTGCCGTCGTACCTACATCCCTACGCCGGACACACACTGGCACGCGCCACATTCGTCAACGAGTCGCGTTGCAGCGAGCATCGCAATTGCACCTCACTACCGATCTCCAGCATGACACTCGATACCAAGTCCCAGCTTTGCCTTGCACTCGCGATCGGACGATAAACTGAAAGCAAAGCAGCGCTCGTTTCGGTTTTTCATCGAGATCGCGAGCCGATCGGGAAAATCGGCAAGTTTTCAAGTGTTTTCTCTTTCTCGCTCCCCGAACGCGAGCGAGCGCGATCGTTATACAAATGAGTGAAAAGTGACAAGGAAGAGCAAAGTCGGACAATGGCGCTGATATCGAGCAATCACCACTACCACCCGCACCACCATCAACAGAGTTACCGATCCGACTCGCCCGGGATGTTCGCCGTGGGCTACTCGCCGGGCAGCGCGTACGGCCGCGACTTTTCCAACGACAGCGATCTGACGGAACACCGCGACATCCCCAGCAACGGCAGCAGCAGCACCGGCCACTACGAGTATCCCCAGATGCTGGACCGCTGCTACGACAGGTCCCCCTACGGGCTTGTCCCCTTACAAACGTACGCCCACGCATGCTTTTATTTTACTTGTACAGCTGTAGAGCTAACAAAATAAACGATTACCTTGATGATAGGTACGAAACGACGACACAAAACGCGCTGGACTACGGCAACGTGACTCGCGTCCACGTCTACGAGGAAAACTCGCCCGAGTACCAGAACGGCTGGCACAGGTGGCGGCCCGGTGAACTCGTGAGCCTGGGTCCCGAGCAAGTGCCCACGGTCCACCCGAGCGACCCCTGCTGGGACTGCAACCTGTCGGCAGCGATACCGGTGAGTGTGACTACATACGGGAGATCCGCTGCAACCGATTTTTTCTATAAATCGTGAACATTTTTTCCGTAGGAGATCGGTACGACGATCGAGCCACCACCACCACCACCACCTCCACCACCGGTGACACCAAAGGCGATGACGGCGACGACAGTAGTCCCGGTGGAATCGAACCCCCGCAGACCGAGTAGGCGTAGGTCGAGCAGAGACGTGCCGGCTTCGCCGAGCGTTTTGAAGCGCCGACGGTTGGCGGCTAACGCGCGCGAGCGACGCAGGATGAACGGGCTCAACGACGCGTTTGACAAGCTACGCGAGGTCGTGCCGAGCCTCGGTACCGATCACAAGCTGAGCAAGTTCGAGACCCTCCAGATGGCACAGAGCTACATCGCCGCGCTCGGCGATCTGCTCAAGGAGCACGACCAGAAGAGATGAGATCGGTAAGTTGATCATGCATTACCGATACGTCGAACGGGGTGGAAATTAAATTTTTACCTTGCTTTTACTTTTTTTTTTTTTTTTTTTTCAAGTAAACCTAGTTCCTGTCCACAGTGGCCATACATTGCTGTTCGAGTGAAGCTGCAGACTCGTGCCCGATTGAGATTTCCCTGCCATAATGATAATACCGGCGTGAATGTAATAAGCTCGTTATGTTACGGATCGTTGATGAACTATTCAAGTATTTTTAGGGGACTAATTATCCACTAGCGCGGATCTAATTCATATATATATATTTTTGAAACATGTGTGTAATTTATGTGTACCAAAGATGATTGGATTGGGGGGTAGGGGGGGTGGTCTATTTGATATAAATAGCTAGTGGAGAATATGAGCTCGCGTTGATAAGCTTAGTGTAATTTCGCGATAGGACGGGTTAACTTATTTTTTTAGTATGTACCATTTGCTGTATAACGATTATTGTAAATATGACCAAATAAAAACGTAAGCTTTGATGATATTTGAATCCTGTGTGAGTTTATTTATTTACATACGAACTAAAAAATAGGAAAAAAAGTGTATCTCCGTCGTATAATAAAAAAAAAAGGCCAACGCTTTTCGGCTGAATTTGAAATTCAAAAGAGTAAAAAGAGCATGTTACATGCAACGAACATATGGCCCTTGTATCAAAGAAGTTCATGTGAAACACGCAATCGCCCTAACGGTTTCTTTTTCACGAAAACAATGATGCGAAATATGATTATGAAAAGTAAAATTTGTGCAAATGAAAGATGATCGAGGGATGAAGAAATTTACATCTCGAGACCTCTCGGCCGAGGAAAAAATTTGTCTGCGGGGGGAATGAACAAAAAAGGGGAAATTTTTCGGAAATACAAGGGGGCATCGCGTGCGGTCACGCCGAGGTGAGTCGGGAGATCAGCGCTGCTCTGTATACACATATGTATAACATACTGGGACTTGCGGGGACGCTATTATAATACGGTATTATACCACCTATAGCAGTGGGTGCACGACGATGAAGCAGCGTCCAACTGTCTCGTTTGAAGGGGGGAAAAAAGGGAGAGAGAGAGCGCATGATGATGAGTATCGCCACGCGGCTGGCGCGTGCCCTCTCCGACTGCCTATACAAGGTACTTGCATATACATACGTCGGCGCACCTTTCAATTCGCTCTTGTTGCTTCCTCTACTCCGCCCATAACTGACTCGGCGGTGCACTGTATTTCCAGGACTGGCTTTTATTTGCCCCTCCTCCCCCTTTTTTTTTTAATTTATACTTACAAGCCCCTCGGGGTCGCTTCCGATACTCGTAATTTATTTTTCATGAAGATAGAAAGCGATTTACCTATAGGGTGCCTCGACTCGAGTGACTTTTTTTCGAAATCGGTATTAGTTGACGAGGGCGGTTCAAAGTAATAAGGTTTTTCATTTTTCGGGCTAATAAACACGCTATGAAAACAAAAAAAACATCTGATAATGTGAATTGGGCAGATCGTGACTTAATTGGTATACCTCATACGAACGGTTTTTCTTGGCGATTCGTGCTTATGCCTTGAAATCGAAGAACTCCCCTGGACTGGATTACGGTGATCGCAACAACGGAGAGAAAGCGAGAGATCGCCACATGGCACGAAGCAAAGCGCACTTATAATATATAATAAGGGCTATCCGTGTATGGTCGACTCACTCTCTCTCTTTTTTTTCCTCCCTCTCGGTGTGTGTCATCTGTTGCTTCTTCACCGCTTTCGGTTGGGGGTGCCGGTGCATGACGAACCTCTCTCCGCGTCACCCCTTGTAAATAGGATTTTAACAACGCGGTAATTGACATACTCATCCCCTACCTTTCCTCCCCTCTCGAAAGGGATCCACCACCTATGGTATCCACCCTCGCGATCGCTTGACTGTTGAACGATGCGGAACGAATGATGGAACGATATACCAGCTCGAGGCCCACTTTATTTCTCATACGTACCCATGCTATTCAGGCCCTTTTTTCATGCACCCTCTTGTGGCCTCGTATTTCTTGTTTTTTTTTTCTCTCTCTCTCTCCCTCTTTGGGCTTTTATGATTTTCAAAAATTAATTTTCCACCTACAAAAGAGCCGAGACTCTTTCTGATAGTCACGTTGTCTTTGAAACATAGTTATAAAAACGCTTTTTTCCAATTAATTTTTTTTTTATTGCGTTAACTAGTTCACTATTGATTTTGCTAATACCTCTAATTAACTCTATTACAAACGCGATGCTTCAATAAAAAATAAATCCATCGACTTACAAAAATATTAAGTAACAATACGTACTATGATCTATCAGGTAACTGCAAAAAAATACTTTTGTAGCCTTGCTTGCACTAGAAATGCCTTTTTCTAATTTTGAGTTGACGAACTTAATTCATCTGATCGACTGGCAGCTGCTGCTATGGCATTCATCAACGAAGCTCTAAAAACAATAACACGTTATTCTCGAACCGCGTTTCATTTCATCACGGGAAATCTAAAAAAATATATTATCGTTACCTCACAGCACCTGACTCCAATGCATGAACTCCCGCAATGGTTGAACCATTTGGTGAGCAGACTTCATCTTTCAACTGCCCGGGATGTTTCTCTGTTTGCAATATCATTTTTCCCGCACCCACAAGAACCTGAGCTGCAAATTTAGTAGCAGTCTCCCGGGGAATACCCCTTCTTACTGCTCCATCAGCAAGTGCCTCTACTATCATGTATCCCTGAAAGCAACCACTTTATTATAATAAACACGACAAAAAATTCAAAAAGTATTTTAATGAGCCATATGACTCACATAAGCAGGTCCTGATCCTGTAAGTGCGCCTGCACTGTTCATAAGAGATTCTTGAATTTTTTCACATATTCCTGTACTTGAAAACAATAACTTCATGACAGCTTCGTCATTTTCAGTAGTCAATGAGCTGCAATAAACTAAATAAAAATTTTAATAAATATTTCACCATAAATTTCAAAAAAATACACCAATTGAATTTACATTAAGTTTACCAGTTATTCCTTCAGATACTAGTAGAGGAGTGTTAGGCATAGATCTGACTATCCTTGGCTTTGAAACTATTTTACTTAATTTTGCTTGTAAAGCAGCTAAAGTCACTCCAACAATAACTGATATAAATAGTTTTTCTTGATCACAATTACTAGGAGGGATGCTTGTTTCAAGTGCTTCATTTAATAGCTGAGGCTTCACACACAACAGTATGATATCACTTTTTTGAACAACCTCATAATTTTTAAAAGTTGTGTTTGCTCCCACATTCTTCCAGATGCTCAAAGTTTTCTCTGTACGACTTGATATCCATATGTTATTTGGTTTTATAATGCCTGAAACCAAAATATTAAAAAAATAAATAAATGATTCTAAAAGCAAAGTAGTAAGAACAAACACCTTTTTTCAAAATCCCCATTCCAATTGCTTGAGCCATGTTTCCTCCACCAATAAAACCAATGATTTTATTTTGTAATAAATCTGAATCTGCCATTCTTGAGTTTATCTGTTGAACATAACAAAATAAAGAATTAGATTCAAACACAACATTTTTTTAAGTTACAGAACTAAAATACATTGCTCTAATAACAAACTGTTTTCTGATCATATATAATTTTGCAACTCAGTATAAAGTTTCCTGTTGTAATGATTCATGATTTTTCGTTTAAATCATCTAATTATCATGTCTCTTATATATCGCACATGACATTGCCTACTTATCTGTTTTAGACAGTTTTAGAGATAAAATGGGAGTAGGGTTAGGATAGTACGATAACAACCAGACAGGAAAATTCTATTCATCTGAGCAATTATACAAGTACAGCAAGATTATGATAAAAATCGCACTTCGACGTTCGCGCTTCACGCAATTATCTAACAGTTGTTAATCTAATTATTAAAGTATTCCAAGGTGTCAACTTACACACAGATGCTTGACTGTTCCAGTTATTGATACTTATTTCCTTATTGTTAAGCCGCAATCACTGTGATAAGGAAAAATCGTCTTCATGCAGTGATTCAACTTGATATATCTTACGCTGTTTGTTAATCTTAAATGGTAATAATTATTGCAGTGTGTAGTTAACGTACGTATCTTCTTTCGCGAGAATTTGGAGCGAAAAGTTTGAATGTAACCGCTCGGTTCAGAAGGTTCTCATTTGCCCAACAACAAACATTGCAACTTGCGACACGCGCGCAGAATGAGCACCGTGCATGATTGCAGGTTGACTCGATGAAGACACTTGACGCAGCAGCAGCAGCCACTGCAAGCTCTATACCTACTGGCTCTGGCTTGGTAAGCTCAGTTAACTCGGTTATCCCGCCATCAAGAGAGAAGAAAGAAGAGAGAGAGGCTGGATCCAGTCAGCAACCACCTACGCAATAGACATATATGATTGATACTGTGGACGACCACCTCACTGGACTTAGTCTCTCTCATCCTCGGAGCTCTTCTTCTTTTGTTCTTTGTACTTTGCCTCCAGTTTACGTGTGGGTGTGTGGGTCAGTCCCTGTTAAGTGTGCTCCGTTGTGCTTCGGTGCTTGTGACCCCATGCTCCTGTTCCTCGAGTTTGAGAGTTTTCGTGTGATCACTGCGAGTAAAGGTGTCCTACTTTTCGATTGAAGGATCAATTGGCTCGTGTGGGCCTGCGAATTGTGTAAAATAATATGGACCAAGGGGGCCCTCCTGAGGGGGCCCCTGTCATCACTGTTGATATGGATATGTCTTGGCCGGATGACAACATCGTTTCTTCCTCGACGTTTTGCGACAATCCCAAAAAACTCAGTAGTAAATTGTTGTTTCTAACCGTGAGTATCAATTTTCTTTCGTTACCGCGCTTGACCTGGTTTACGTAGTGATTTTGTAATCGAATCAAAAAAAAAGAAACAAACCAACGAAAAGTTGTAAATATAAGTTATTGATTACCGAAAAATGTATAAATGGATTTTTTAACTTTTTTTTTTTTTAGGTTGAATATGTTGACGAGCAGACAAATTTAGGAAGAGATTTTTCTTTCTCGTCCCGTCCGAATTCCCCTCTGTCGGACTTCAAACATCAAGTCAGTCCTCATGACCCAAATATGAGTTCGGCAGCTAGGTATTCCCCGACTCCAGTGCCACTACATTCTTCACCCTTCAGCAATTCCGCAGTCGTGCTCCAGGAGCCTTCTTCTCCTCTGATATCAACATCAGAATCTGCTGTGCGAATCAATAATGAATACTCATCGCAGCTTAATGATCAGTCATCCAACACCAGTACTTCACAAAGTGACAACTCTGAAGATTTTACCGATAGTACAAATGATGAGCTAGTTTCAAGTGTCAGTAACGAATTGATGTTTGTACAAGGTAATTTTTGTCTACATCTATACTTTATGTTTCTTTCACGTTTCGATACTACATCAAGTTTCACTCTGTCAACAGGTTCCAACTCAGATCTGGAACCGTCGTCAACTCCGCTTATGTTGGCTGGCTCAGATTTAACACTTGCAAGAGACTTCCTTGTAATGCAAGAAGATCAGATAAACGTTATCAACTCTATAAAATTGAATTCTAGTCTTGATTCTAATGTTGATCAAGTTGTACAAACTACCTTACCACTTGATGATTTCAATGATGAGTCAAACGCACAAATGCCGTTATTAAAGAATTACAAGAAAATTTCTGAAAGTGATCAGTCTTTTGATTCGAATAAAAAAAATTGCGATTGGTTTAAATGTGAAAGTAGCGAAGATGATATTTTATGTACGATCCATAATCTAGCTAGTTTCATTACTATTTTTTTCCAACTAATTTTTCATTTTCTATTCAGGGCACGAAGACTGTGACAGTATCTGCATGGATACTGCAGAATGCACTTTACCTGACGTGTGTACGATAGCTGATCAACCAGTTCCCTCTAGAGCTGTGGCAACACTACCTGGCCAATATTTGACGATTGATAAGCTTTCATCTTCCAATTTAGCGACCCAGTCGACAGAGTTTGGTGTTTTTGCAAAACGTGACATACGTTGTCGCACTCAATTCGGTCCGATTGAAGGGATTTTACACCCTTATGATGGATCACCAATTAACGGCCTACCTCTACTTATCGAAACTCAGGAGAATGAAGAATTTATACAAATCGATGTTTCAGACGAAAGTACAGACTCTTTTTTTCAACTTTAAATTACAGTTGTATAAATAATGAACAAAAATTTTACACAAAATTTTACTTGTAGATTCTTCAAATTGGATGCGTTTTGTAAGATCAGCTGAAACGTACAAAGAACAAAATTTAGTCATTTGCCAACAAAACGATAAAATAGTATTTTTAACCACCCGAAATATAATGCCTAAGGAAGAATTGAAAGCTGGTCCAAGCCTTGAGTATGGTAAACGTAGAAATTTATCTGTGCTTGAACCTAATGATATAGGTAAATTTAGTTGGTCATTTTTATTGAATGATAAATTTATGTCACCAATCTGTAAATTTTGTACTCATTCTGTAGACTCAAGTATCAAAGACATCTGCAATAAAACTCAAGTAAAATCTAGTTTATCTGCAGAAGAAGAAAATTTTGAAAATCGTAGAAGTAATTCCAGAAGATTGCTTAAAAAACGTAAAGCAGCTCCGGATTCATTTCAGTAAGTAATTTTTTTTGTACAGCTTATGAAAAGAGTTAATTTTACAAAATTAAAAATAACACTTCCTCGAAAAAATTTTCAGAAAATACTTGGAAAACAATGATGAGGATGATAACGATAGTAATTTAAGTGATTTAAGATACTCCCAAAGTGATATTAAACAGTCTTTCACAGGAAAGGAAAACTCTCCTGTTTTAAAATTAGAGTTGATGAAGCAAGAAATTACACAATCCAATCAAATAGATTATCCAGAAAAAACTGCATGCCCAGTATCATCTAGCGTTTACAAATGTACAGTTTGTTCCAAACGTTTTACGAATAAATTAAACTTTCAACAGCACTGCCTGATACATGGTACGAAAGATAACGAATCTCTCACATGTAACGTTTGTCTAAAAACATTTTTAAACAATTCTTCGTTAAATCGACATATGAAAACTCATCAAAGTAAGTTTTATTTTGTACAAAAGTATTGACATCTCCACAACCACTATGGAAATTTTAATTTTCAGAAGAAAAGCAAGATCTTGAATGCCCGATTTGTAAAGAGGCATTTGGTCGTGTTTTAACGCTGAAGGATTTTTCTGAAACTTACATGAACAAGGAAGATGAAACATTTACCTGTCCTCACTGCCCAAAGTCATTTTCTAGTTATGCTTTGACCCGCAAACATGCTAGAGCACATCATATTGATCGCAAACACGAATGCCAATTTTGTTTCAAATGTTTTCCGGCAGCAGACAAATTGAGAATGCACTTGCTAAAGCACTCTGATCGCAGGTATTTAATTTTTTTTTTTTTTTTTTTTTTTTTTACATGATCCGTAAATTACATGGAGTAAATTAATTACGTTCACTGCTGTACACGTAATGTTAAAGTTTCCGTGTAACGAACCTATTACCACTAACATATTATTCTACCGTGCAGAGAATTTCAATGCGCAAATTGTGGAAAACAGTTCAAACGAAAAGACAAACTCAAAGATCACGTCACTCGTGTTCATTACACACCGAAAAGTAACAAGGACCAAATATCATCGAATAGTCGTGCCAAAAAAATAATTCCAAAGGTATTAAAAAAAATAGTGCTGAATAGGGCTTTGTTCCAACACATTATAGTAATTTATTAAATTTTACTAACAGATGGATCCAGTTGATTGTGACCGTTTTATTTACAAATGCCGTCGTTGCCAAGTAGGTTTCAAGCGTAGAGGTATGCTTGTCAATCATTTAGCCAAGCGACATCCAGACATACCTCCTGAATCGGTACCAGAACTCAGTTTACCGATTTTGCGTCAAACTAGAGATTATTACTGTCAATACTGCGATAAAGTGAGTGAAAAAAAAATTTTACTTCGAGTTGTAATAATTTTCATACTGTGCACCACAAGGTCGATAAAAACTGCTAAATATGATTCAGGTTTATAAAAGCAGCAGCAAAAGAAAAGCGCACATAATGAAAAATCATCCAGGTCAAGCTTTACCGCCAACCAATAGGAACAAGGATTACGACATTCCCGGCTTGCCGAATCCCACATTCAGTCAGGCTGCTGGAAGTATCAAAACGATTCCCCAGGGTTGTCAGTGGTGTCACAAACAGTACGCCAGCAAAGTAAGTCGCTTTTATTTCGTCTAAGAGGCCCCTTGATGATCTTATGTTGGCTTGATTGCAGGCAAAGCTGCTGCAGCACCAGCGCAAAAAGCACTCAAGTTTGATGGAACCGTCGGAAAAAATGCCGAGACCACGTAGCCGTCCACCGCAAAACCAGAATCAGCCACCAGCGTCGTCCAACAGTCCAAGTGCCGCGGACGAACAGTCGATAGCGGTTGATATGAGTACCGAACGGGAGGATGCGGACAATCTTGGAGAGTTCCCAAAGTCTCGAAGCGCGCGAGTTAGCAGCAGTACCGAGTTTTCAGCTGTCGATGGGGATTTTGAGTTTCTCGCCGGAGCACAATTTGCTCGCGTACGAGACATGCGCTGAGGGAGCGAGGACAAACGCCGCGTGACAGCGGCAGTCTGGAGCTCGAGCAATTCATCCATCGTGAGACATGGGAATCCGATGGAATAAATTATTTTGTGCGCAGCGGAGCTCTACACGGACGTGGAGCGACTGCGCTGCTTATTGTGCTGCCTCTTCCAGGTCGCAGGATGTCTGGGGTGACAGCGATAACGAGGGAGGCCAATGAAATAGGAGCTAAAGGAGATGTGGATTGCAGTTTGTTGTGGCGACGTTGAGCGTCGCGCGCTCGCGCTGACAGGTATTTTTCGTCAGAGTGCTGCTGTTGTTGTTGTTGTTGTTGTTTTGTCTTGGCAGTCGATCGTCTGACTTTTGTCTAATGGCATGCTATCATGTCCAATTTGAAAGATGAACTTATTGTTGAATCTGTCTTTTCAAGAAAAAAAAAAAAAACACATTTGAAACTCCAATGAATGGTTTAGTAAAGAATGAAAAATTACTTGGTGTGTTAATGATATCCGATTTTGACTTGCTAGTCATTGTTTTGAGATATTAAAAAAGAAAAAAAAAAAGATAATCATAGTATTCAAACTATGACATATGTGATGTATTTTATTGAGAAAAAGTGAAAAGCCAAATAAGTTGTTTTAAAGTATTCAGCTAAATAAATGGTAACACAGTACATTAGACAAATCTGTAGGAAAATGCGTCTTGAAAGTTTTTAGATGAATATTTGTTGAATCAAAACAAAAAAGTGAAATAAAAACAAACAAACGTACGAATAAACAACAATAACAAAGTAAAACAAATCGTTACGTGGATTAGTTATATAAAATTTAGAAAAATGAATAAAATGGCTTGTCCTGTAATGTAGTTACAGTTTCTCTGAAGTGATCGACAAATATGATCGACGCATTTCCGTATGAAGTAATCTTTGCGCGTATTACAAAAAATCTATGTCTATTCATCTCCCCAAGCTTCGAATTAGCACAAAACTTATTTAGTAAGTATAGTTATCAGATAAATAATTTACTATCGTACACTCCTCTAGGAGAAGAAAAAAAAATTATAAAGCCAAACAAACATAGCAAACACGTACACGTACACACGAACGAAGAATTTCGTCTTTTCCGTCTTTACTAGACTATTATTCGGTTAAATTAGAAAACTTGTTGTCATCGAGCATAATGTACTCTAAACTAAAGTGTGTGACTTTCCATTTTTCGAATCTTGCAATAGACAAAAAAAAAAAAAAAAAAAAAAAAAAAAAAAAAAAAAAAAAAAAAAAAAAAANGTGCGGCGATGGATGACTATGTGCGTGTTTTTTTTTTTTTTTTTTTTTTTTTTTTAAAAAAAAAAAAAAAAAAAAAAAAAAACAAATAAAGCACAAGAGAGAATAAGCCTGGCGTAAATTAAAACAAAAAGACCTTTTCTTTGGCTCGTAGAAAGATTATACTTACGACTCGACATGCGCATATTTGAGATGTACGTTACATAAAAGTCCAACGGAACGAAGGTTACCATGTACAACACTTGTGTAAGAAATGTGTAGAGAGATTTGACAGCAGCTGAATTATTGTTTTAATGATCCCAAAGTAAATAAAATGACAACGAGCAAACTTCAACAAACTAATTATTCACTTTTTACTTTTTTATAATACCTCTATACACATGAAATTTTATGATTTTTTTTTGTACAAGTTAAAGAGAAGCGCTTCAAGCTCACCTATGACCAAATCGAATAATGAAAAAATATAATATATAATCCCCGTTGTTTTTTTTTTTTTTTTTTTTTTTTTTATCAAAAATCCATGTACGGATTCACGCGCATCGACGCAAATCGCAAACAAAAATTACCCATCGGGGTTTCCAAACCGAGCGTGGAGACACGGCGAGAGCGCGTTGATGTATAGGCTTGCATTTACCGGCAGTTGGGCTTGCAAGTGTTCGAAGACTCGAGTTTCTCGCTGGCGATGGCTAGGGGCCCCACGAGACCGGGGCCCCCGTTGTGGGGGTGGTGCGGGCTTATCGTCGGCAGGGGCAAGCTCGGCAGGACGGGGCTCGCCGGCACCTGGTACTGCATGTTGGCCGTCTCGTAGAGCTGCTTCTGCATCACGGCTAGCGAGACCTTGTTGGCCGAGAGGAACTCCTTCATCGAGATGAGCTCCCCGGACATGCGCCTCGGTATGGTGTACACCGCGTCTCGGGACACCAACCTCGCGGGCCTCCGCTTGGCGTAGTAGATCGCCGACACCGACGACCTGATTACATTTCACCATGGCCATCAGTAACAACGACGGGGACAGATTTTTCGACAACTTACCTCCTCCTGGGCAATTTTATGGAGCGGTTGCGACAGTTCAACTTGTCAATGACGCAGTTCAAGCCCTGCTTTATGACAATCGACGTCACGTTGAGCAGAGAGTAAATGCAACAGCAGCCGATCACCAGGAACATGAAGTTGGCGAACCTGTACCTGTGTGATTAAGAACAATGAGTGCCAATTGGTGATGATAAACAACAAAGCACCTGGCAAACGATATATCGAGAGAAGGAAGAATAAATGCCGAGCCCTCACAAGTGAACGTAGGGATACTGGGGCCTCTGCATGCTGACGTAGTCGCCGAAGCCGATGGTCGCGAAGCTCACAAAGCAGAAGTAGAGGGCCTCCAGGTAGTCCCAATCCTGAGCGAAAGGTAAATTATCATCACTATACTATATGTAATTCCTTATTTGAGATTCGTTGTGGATGTAATAAATGAGCGATAAATGTTCACACGGACCTCGAGGGTCGCGTAGAGGGCCGCTGCGGTGCAGGCGACGGCGCACGAGGCCAACGACAAGTACAGCATCACCCAGTAGACGCTCGGCTTCCAATGCTCCAGGCCGATCTGTATCATCATGACCATCACTCGTGTCACCCCTTAAATCGTTACGAGCAATATATACACATTATGAGAAGCTCACGTCGTCTTCGTCGTCGTCGACGATGTCCGGCAGGGTCTTTCCATCCTTGGTTCCTGAGCTGCGGGGAATCCTCCTCGAGCTCGCCAAGGTTGTCTGGCGTAGGCGCCTCTTGAGCCGTCTCAGGTGCAAGCTACGCAGGATCCACGCGAGGAAGGTGATTATTCGCTCCAGAAAGAGATTGAAGAAGAGTATGCCGCCTGAAACGAAGCGGCGCGATAACGGTGTTGGGCCGGTCCGCGTATTCGTTTGAAGGGGTATACGTTACCGGAGCAGCCGAAGAACCCGTAGACAATGACGGCCGCCTTGCCGGCACTCGTTTGGGGAGCCGTGCTCCCGTAGCCTGGAAGAAAATGTTCATGTACGCGCGAAGGGTGTCCGTTGGGATTACGAGCATGCGGGGGAGCGCGCGTTAAGTGAGACGCGGCTGGTAGCTGGGTCACGGGATTATTAGGTGACATTCTCGGGCAGTCCCCATTCTTGAGGCTCGCGCCAAAGATTTGCAAGCGAGCGCGACTGGCGACAACGCGCGACACCATTTCTTTCGTTCTTTTTTTTTTTTTTTTTTTTTTTTTTTCCTCGAGGCTACGACGGGGAGGAATGCGCTCCCCTACATGCACGAAACGCAGGGTGTATACGAATCGTGCGGCTCACCGATGGTCGAGACGATGGTGCCGACAAAGTGGAAGCTGCCAGCAAAGTCCCAACGACGGCGTTTGTTGATTATACCAATGGCCGAGGCGTTGCCGTAAGCGTAGAGCAGCTCGTGCAGCCGTTGAAGGGCTTGCGAGCTGCCGCGCATGTGGTGCCGGCGAAATGCATGGTACACCTTCCAGAACTCGGCCGCCTTCAAAATATAATTTTACCTCGCAGGTATACGTACATACGAAAGTGTAAATTTGGTTGTCACGCATAGTTTTTTTTTTCCAACTTTTCCTGCCTTTGGAGGGAGGGGAAAAAAAAAAGGTCCCCGGAAATCCGTAGTCTGTCCTCGTGTGTTATATCGATCAAAGCTGTAGGGGGAGGAGGGGTATCGCAACCACGACGGCTAGGTAAGCGATTGTCATTTAATGGCTCTCCCCTTAGTTGAGCTCTACATTTGCCCTCAATACAAACTGGCAAAGTGGCTATGTAACCTTCGCGGAAGAAAATGAAATCAAGATCGCCGGCGTGTACGTGCATGTGCAAACATTCCGTTAATTGGCTGGGCTATTTTTTTTCCCCCCATATTATTTCTCCTTTCTGCACTTTGAAATGGATACTTGTAAACACAAAGTTTGGGTTGATGAAATTTCGCTTACCGATCAGTCGTGCGATATGGTACATTTTATTATTATTTTTTTGAGTATATAAAGTTACAAAAACAGTGCATGATGAGAAATCGGCATTTTATGGTATGAAAAAAAAAGAAAAGAAAAGAAATCACAATTTCGAAGCTTCGAACGCTAAAATTGCTTAACAAAAGCGTGCACGCGAAAAAAAAAATTTGGAAACTAAAAAACGATATGAAAAAAAATGTTAATGTACGAAATAATCGATGTTATCTTGTAAAAACATAATTTTGCATTGTGGGTCAGTACAAACAGAAATACAATTGCAATTTCGGATTGGCCGATGCATATTTCATTTTAAATCGATTTCCCTTGATCTAAATCCCGGTACTTAACCCTCCGCTGCTTATTCTTTACATATACATGTACTCTATAGTTCAAAAGTACGCGGCTGTTGGGCGAATTTTAAATACTTTGGGAGCGAATAATTTTTTTTATTTTTTTTTCTATTTTTTTTTACACCGTAGCAAGTGCGAAGCGAAAAAAAAAAAAAAAAAGGTACATGTAAATGAACGTGTATATTATCAAAGTGAAAAGAAAAGGCTCGATCTCACCTGGTTTAACTCGAGATCGGACTCCAGCCTCTGGAAGATAAACGCACCCACGAGCATGTAAGCCGAGAGTACAAAGGCGAGCAAGACGAACCGAGCGTTGTCTTCCGCAAATCCCCCATCACATCCCATCTGGCTCGATCATCGCTCATTTCACTTGCCAATCATTTGCTTTTTTTTTGATTTATTTTTTATTTTTTATCAAACTAAGTACCCAATGCAATTTTAAACAAAAAAAACTACAACCCGTTTTTTATCCGCAAAAATGTAAGACTGCCGATCGGTCCTTGCGGCTTACTCCGAGCCGTAGCTTATACCACCCGCGCTTCTTCTCGGCTGTCTCTCCTGCATAGCTGCTACAACTGCCCTCGAGATAAAAGCGCGCCTGCGCCTATGGGGCTGCTCCGAGGGGTCATTGAAGTTCTCGGCTCTCTGCGGGGATAAATTAATATTTGTATGTGTATATATACTTACACTTTGCGCGACTGGATTATTGCTTTCGGCCACCCTTGGCCCAGGGCCGCTCTTCTGTAAATACCTTCTTTTTTTTCCCTGAGATTTCGTGTTTAATACATAAAGAGTATAAAAACAAATCAACAGTCGATAGCTTGAGTTTCGTCGAGGTCAATAATCGCCAATATACGAGAGTACGACAATAAGCCCACGGGAAAAAATTGCTGGTATTGAAAGATCTGGGCAACAAGGTATGTTGCAAGCTGGTACTTTCCAAGACATGGAAATTTTCGCTACCTTTATCTATTCTCGATCGATGCAGCTGCACAAGACTTTTAAAAATGTGTTCCAAAAAAGGATCTCCGTCTTTTGATCGAGTATTCCGAAAAAGTCCTTCAAAATCTCTACTCGTACTTTTGAAGAGGAAAAACAAGAACGCACAAGTTCAATGGTACCACCAACGGTGTGAGCACCAATGATTTCGTGTTTGTACCGAAATACGTGAAATTTATTTATTTTTTTTTCCTTCTCTTCGTTAATAAAAGGGCTCTTTGCGTCCCGTGAATAGGACTGCGAGATCACAGGGAGAACTTGGCCGTGTGATTGCAAGCTCCCTTTTCCTCCTCTCCGAACTTGATTGCGCCACTGCGTGGTGTTTACAGTTCTTCTTCGTACGCATAAAGGCACTACGTTTTTATCTCGTGGGAGAGAAAAGAAGTAGAAAAAAACACACACACACACACACTTTGACCATTTACACGAATTTTGAATTGCAGTACTTGTCTCGTTGCGAATCATTTCTGGGGCAATATTGCGCGCCACCACGTCCATTCACAGTTAGTAAAAATAGCCGAAAAGTGTATACGCGCGCGACTCTGTCCGTGAAAAGAAGCACACATGAATGCGTGGCTTTTTGAAAGGTACCCCGAACGCAATTCCCAAGTGAACCTCTACAAGGTTGCTTTGTTGTTCCCCTTATCTCCCGAGGGATACCGCTGCCACCTTTGACGACGCCACCCTTCTTTTTTCGGAAATAACAAATCGCACAAGATTTTTCATAAAAAACATATATTATATATTGATGCATATTCTTCGAAGCAACAGTTTAACACTAAATATATATATGTACGAGTCTAATTAGATTTTTTTTTGTTTTTGTACACATCAAATGTAAGTAATAATCGTAATGAGCTAATGATGAAAGTTGTCGAAAGCGTATAGAGTCGGGCCTCAATGCCTATTCTGCGTGGGTCCTTCCTCCAGTTTCCGCCAAACGACCTGAAAACGTGCGAGTGAATATAAGTATACATATATCCCCCTGTGAGCGGGGAAAAAGGAAAAGCCCAACAACTCACGTTGCACATCTCCCTGACCAAGGCTTTTTGCACGTCTCCCTGGCCGGCCTCCCGCTCGAGCTGCTCCCTGACCTCGAGGACCTGGAGCGCCCGGACCACAGCTTCCGGCCGGCCGCTCAGGTGGAACTCGTCCGCGGGACTCCTAGCGCTGTCCTCCTCCAGCTGCTTGACCCGCTGCTCGAGGCTCCTCACGTACTGCATCGTCTGATCTAAAAAAAACAAAATAGCTTGATTAAACTCTCGTGTCCAAGTCTGTAGGCATTGTAAACATGTGTCTATAGGTAACCGTTGAAGGTGGCTTGCTGTTGTTGTTGCTGGTGGTGGTGGTGGTGGTGCTGGTGATGGGAGTGGTGCCGCGGGGGGAGCTGCTGGCGGGTGGGCGCGCTCTCGTCGGCGTTGGTGCTGGAGGACGAGCCATCGCCGTCGTCCCTTTGGCTTCCGCCGCCACCACCGCGCTCCTCGTCCAGGTAGAGACAGAGCTCCTTGAGCTCGAGGTTGTCCTTTATGAGCTCCTGCTGCTTGTTGTCGAGCTGGCGTAGCTTGTTCTGGTAGGCCGAGACCTCCTGGCGCATGACGCTCGCCGTGTACCGGCCGAAGCGCTGCCACTCCCGGGCGAGCTTGCGCCCCTTTTGCCGGTCGTCGTCGAGGAAGCAGCAAAGGTCCCGCAGCTCCTGGTTGTCGTCGCTCAGCCGCTGGTTCGCCTCCTTCATCGCCCTCAGCTCGCTCACCTACGTGTACCAATAACATGTATATAATTGTGTATTCGCGTGTGAAAATATATACACCTATATTGCCTATACGTATATACGTATACAAACACTCACGAGACTCTGGATCTGGCGGTGCTGCTCGGTGACCAGCCGGGCCATGTCGCTCTCGGTTTTCCTCACGAACTTGAGCATCTCGACGGGTCCGAGTCGCAGAAACTCCTCGTCCGTGATCCTTTGTCTCGCCGGTGCGGCTTGCCCGGCGACATTAACACCCGGCGCCGGGGCGACCGCCGGGAAGCTCTTGACCTGCTGCTGCTGCTGCTGAGGTGGAAAGTTACCTCCCTGCTGCTGCTGGAGCTTATCCGTCCTGCTGTAAAACGACGCGCGATCTTATGATTTCGAGTGTACAAATTAATCCCCCCCCCTCCCTCGCTCGTGGCTTTAATACTATATAAGTACGCGCGCGGCCAGAAGTGTCGAAACGCCGGGTGTGTGTCACATATACCCACGTTACGACTGGTTTGGGTATATACACCTGCTAGGGAAGGTGGATCGTTGCGTCAATTCATTAAATACCCAGGGGGTACTTGAGGTGTATATACCTAATCGGGTGTGAGAGATTCTTGCTCGGCAAGTGGGGAATACACATAAATATACAATTGGCCAGCCACCACGTATTTGCTCCAATTGATTTGCTTTTGACGATCATGTTGTGTTTGGTACTCGGGACTTTTGACCGATACTCGTGTAGTGGATATCACATATATGTAGAACTCACCCGATGACAGTAGGCTGGGCGTGGGGCAGCTCGACCTTCTGGGCGAACTTGCTCTGGACGGCCTCCTTGACTTGGTTGGCGAGCCTCGCGGCTTGCTGCTGGTGTTGGCTGTAGTGGTGGTGAGCCACAGCCGCCTGTTGGGCCTTGAGGATGCCCGGCTGGGGTGGTGGCTGGTAACGCGGTGGCAATGGCTCGAGACCGCCCGGTTTAGCCGGACAACCAACGTTGGACTGCAGTTGTTGCGGCGCTGGCACGGACAGGGACGGCTGATGCTGCAGTTTGACCTTACCGGACATCGTGCCCCGTACCGATTTCCGGGCTCTGCTGACGCGGATTCCTCGCTACGCGAACCGGCCGGATTACGCTCCTCCCGTAATATTGTACCGATCAATCGTACAGGTACACCCGTAGTTGCGTTGTTGAGTATACTCTATTCGCCGCGTCATCGCGTGTCGATGAAGTTAATCCTGCGGTATCCACTGGCCCCCTTTGCTCGCGGTGAGCTCGCATGACGGGTGCGCACATTGGCCAAAATTTAAATACCTCCGCCAACCGAGCTTCGCGTTTTTTCGGCTTACGATGATCCGGGTATGTGGGTCAGCCGCGGATCGGTTCGAGGCCCGCTCTCTTAAACCTCCTTCTTCTTCCCCCCCCCCTACCCCGTCACTCTCTCTCTCTCTCTACCGAACTCGCGAAAACACTCGATCGGCGCAATGTACTTAAGAACGATCCTCTTGTGACTCTTTTCTTTATGTATCGCGATCGTCCAACCGGGGGGTATATGGTGTGATGAATCACTCGCGATTTGTATACGCAAAACACGAACCTTGCGTGTATATACAATAAACGCACGTTCACTGAACTTCACTGCACGATCGGAGTCACTGCAACATTATACCTGGGTAAAAAGGCGGAATGCACGATTTATCTCGTATGAGCTGGTGTAGATTTGCCGAGATTGCGCGCACAGGTGACAAATGTATATCGAAATCGTGGTGGAGGAGACAGCTGGTGAGCGGAAAAGCCCGGGGAGAAAGTGGGACCAGGCTGTGGTATGGAGATCGGGGTAGATGCGCGTGCCGATGTCAGAGGAGGCCTCGTGCACACAACATGGCCGAGCCGCTACAGAGGGACCCCCGAAGGGAATTTTTTGTCGAGGTGAATACGTGTGGGGCTCCCCTTCCTCTCTCCTCGACCTCGGCCTTATACATGCACACACCGAGTGGGGACTCACTGGGGGACTACTCTCTCTCTCTCTCTCTCTCTGTGAAAGAGGAAGAGAGGAGCGCGCCGTTCACGGCAAAGTATGGGTATGTATATACAGGTAGAGATATCCTGATTTTTTTTTTTTTTTTTTTTACGCATTCGCTCAGGTGTGCGAGAGATAATTACCTTCTCAAACATGTATGTATGACTAGTGTATATATACGTCTGGGGGCACGTATACCTGCTTCCACACCTGTAATGGTGAAGCAGCTGCGTCGCAGGTATAAAAAGGGAAAATCAGATCCATACGGCCGCAACAATAGGAAGGTAGGATATACGTGTGCGTATATGTATGTGGCCACCAGGTGCATCGAGGATAAAAAAATGCAGACGGGAGAAGGGAGTCCCCACACACATTTCTTTTTGTTTTGTTTTACCTCACCTCGGAGGGAAAAATCTGCGCCCTACAGTGCCTGGAGTTGCATTCTTTGAATTCCCTGTGAAAAAAAAAAAAGTTTGATTTTTATGATTTCCTTGCGTAGCGAGTAATCATTATTGACAACATTTTGGCCCGCACGAAAAGGTTATTCTTCACGTTAAATACACCGATGCAACAATTACCGATTTATTTCATCATTTGATCGTTTACACATGTGGGATTAAAAGTCCTTTTTTCTGTTTTATGTAAGCCCTGTATCACTTCGGTTGCCATTACCAACCGATAAATGCCAAAGTTTTTTATTTAATTTTGCGTCCCTTACCGATTCATATAAGGGTGCCTGTACATGGAAGACCTGCTGTTTGACAACTTCCCGTCAAAGCTCTCTCTGGTCTCATGAGAGTGAGAGAGAGAGGTTCATCACGTGACCACATTTAACCTCTCTCTCACTCTCATGAGACCAGAGAGCTTTGCTTTGACTGGCAGTTGCCAAACAGCAGGTCTTCCATGTACAGGCACCCTAACGATCTCTCGATCCCTGGTACTTGTATATTTTTAAAACGCAAACACAGCGTCAGTACCATCTGTTGCCGCGCTTTCGTACTCGGAGGAGCAAAAGCTCCGCCCGAAAATGTGATCGATAAAAGTACAGAGGCGAGGAGGGTTCCGGAGCCCAGGCTTACCCGTCGCGAGCGTCAGCGCCAGCGAGCAAAAGCAGATGTCGTTGGCATGAAGTCCCCCCCCCCCGCATTGAAAACCCACGGCGTTTTCATATATATCCCTCCCCCGGCTCGATAACTCGCCCGAGAGAAAGAGCTTTTACACATGGGTTGCGTGTGTAAGCTGCGGAGGCAGGTAGTACACGCAAGAGCGCATCGTCGGCACGGCATGAGCAGTCGGTGTCGATATACGCGCTCGCTTACATTACACGCGTAAAACAAGAGTCTTACAGCACGTTGAGAGACACCGATTTCGGCTTTTCTTTTTCTTTTTTTTTTTTTTTTTTTTTCTTTATTTGATACTTTAAAGTCCAACTACAAACCTTATTGTTGGTTTACAAGAGTAATTGTGCTATTGTGTTGAAACAACCGTAATAAGTTTTTTTGTTTTTNGATATACGCGCTCGCTTACATTACACGCGTAAAACAAGAGTCTTACAGCACGTTGAGAGACACCGATTTCGGCTTTTCTTTTTCTTTTTTTTTTTTTTTTTTTTTCTTTTTTTTCTTTCTTTTTTTTCGGAGTCAACGGAAGTGTACACCGATTCTCTCACTGACAATCACCTCGCACGGGCCTGTCGTCGCTGTCACCCGCCGATATCGTTGATGGCCACCACCCTCGCCGGCACGGGCACGATGGTCAGCCCTTCCTCGCAGTTTTTCCCAAGCGTCGCCGAGGTAAGTGTCGCCGTTTTGTGTGCTTTGCCCGCGCACAAGGGATGATGCATTCCTCGCGCATTGGTACACCCAAGTTACACATGTAATACACCGAGACACCTACCAAAAAATTGGTGGCCTCGTAGTTTACCCCCTCGTAGACGAGGGTGGGAATAAATGTGTGTCACGCGGCTACTCAGATTTCCTCGAATTTGTTTAATGCAATAGGTTATGACGGTACTTGTGTTATATAAATGACCCCCTTCGACTGCACGGGCTTTTGCAATATTCAAAGGTGCATATGTATATATTATATACATGCCTACCTAAATGCCAGCTAAGCTTATATATACTTGTTCATCGCATCGTGTATTGTCACACGTACGTCACGTATATAATATGTTTACGAGGAGCCTGTAGGAGGGCTCGGGTGCGCGTATTATACTTACTTGCCACTCGCGTAATGCATCCCGATACGAGGCTGTGCATATTTTTAGAACACGTGAGTGTTGGTGCGACAGTACCTACGGCTACCGGCTATTTCGTCCATTCGCTCGTCGTCGCTCCCTTCATTTATATTATAATATATTACATATAGTATACATATATATTATACTACGTTCAACACTTGTTCGTGGCTTCATACATGTACCTATGTTACTTTTCATTTGACTCATGCCCTTTGCGTCGATATTTTTGGCGCTCCATACGAGCTTCTCATGTAAATATATGTACTTGTGTGTATCGTAGGTGATATCTGGCGATCTAGCTGCAAGCTGGTACTTCGTTACAACGTAGTATATACGTGTCCTTGATTTTTATTCATACCTACCTATTGATCCCCTCGATAACTGTGGGACGCGCTTCGATCAGCATACTTAAGTACTTATATACATCACCCGACACATAAAGAAAAAAGTTACGCGGGAGTGCTTATTGCGAGTTATTTCGACACAACGCCAAATTATTGGAGCGCGTGCACCGAGTCGTGCATTTTTCGGTAAATGATTATTTAAAGTGAAAAAAAAAAACAAAAAACAAAAAACAAAAACCATGTCAAATACGCGTGTATAACCGCAAGACATGCACACGGAAGAGCTCGCCTTGAATAAATATTCAGTGTCGCTCGCCCGACTTTTGTATTTACGCTTATGAAGGAACATAACATAATAATAAGGTATTGCGTAACGGCTCCAACACACTTTTGGCAGTTGAACCCGCCGTCTCGTCAATGCTTGATTTTCCTTTCATTCGTCGGCTAATTTGTACAGTTGGCTCGCCGACGCGCGCATACACACATTTGTCCATTTTTATACATTTACGAGAACGAGTGGTATAATTTTAGCTCCACAACTAAGCATGTGATGAAACGGATCAAATGATATAACGTTTCTTATGAATGAATGAACGAGCGGCTGAAAAATGGAGCCGGAATTTGAATTGTAAAAAAAGTCTCGGTCGAATGTAGGCCCGGGTATCGGAGTCATAATCTTTCGGAGCTTCGCTTTAATAGAGATCAATCGACGTTTCGGTGAACTGGCAGTGGGAGACCGATGGGAGAACAATACTGCGTTTTAATGATTTTCATTCGTCCGAAGTGAAACTCGATACGACAAGAGAGTGCGGTGAAGGCAATTTCTTTCAAATGCATCAAAAACAAGTTTATCAATAAAATAAGACGAATGGCGACGATCTTCCATCAACGCGATTCGACGAATCCTTTGGATTTTGAGTGATTTAGCCGAGCGGTAGCCCCTCCCCGGCTAAACCACGTAGTCAGATTACCGAATGATGAAAAGTAGGACAATTAGAGATGCTTGGGTTGCGTTGGACCATTTGTGACGTTTCAGAAGGATTTTGCCGTGTGTAGTTTGTTTCAACAATGTGTTAGAGCCAAGAAAAAGAAATGTTTATTACGTGAATGACACTTATTTCGTCTCGATTTGTGTTTTCTGCACTCCAAACTATGTGCGTGTTTTTTTTTTTTTTTTTTTTTTTTATACAGAAAAACAAACAAATACTGCAATAGTCCATGTGTAAGCGAAAGATAATGGACTGAACATATTTGATGTCCAAGCCACTTGAGTAGATCGTGTAAGAAAAATCTCTGAAACCCGAAAAGCCTCCTCAAGCTATTTATCTTCAAGTTGTTTACCAATACTACTGGTGATTCATTGCGTACGCCATACACGCGTTTCTCACGAATAAAAAGAAAAATATTTGGACCGCCTCTGGGTGGGCACTTATACTGATAAAAATGCTAGAGATTTTCTCTAAAGCATCAGCGTACACTTATACGTATATCGTGAACGTGTGTACAAGTCGGACGATGCGATCGTTATCTGTAAAAATATGGGCTGTTGGCTCGTTTTTTTTTTTGTTTTCTGACATTTGTTGTGCCAGAAACCGCGTGATCTGGGAAAGAAAAAAACCTGTTCTGTAAAAAATTTTCTCTGTGCACAGTGTGGTGTGGCTTCCATCGTTTTTATGCAAGCGTATAATTACACCCAGCCACACGCACACCCAAGACTCGTGTAATTATAATAAACAGCAGCTATGCGGATACACACATATATACGTGCTTGGCGCATTATTACAACAAAGTTTGTAAAACATTTCTTGATCACTCGAACCCATACATCCTGTTTCTTGACGAAATGAAAACTTTTAGTGGGTATCGGCGTTCAATATTCTCGGAAAAAAAATAGACAACAAAGGTGATGTTGATAAATAGATAAAAATGATTGAACGTGAAAAAAAACGCCCGATAAAATCGATCAAACGCAAAATATTCTCATTTTTGTCGTGAATTTTGATTACAATCGCGATTAGAATCCGATCGCGATAAAATTACACGATTTTTCGACAGATCGAGCACGAATTGCAATCACAGATTTTCACTGGAAAATAAAACTACAAGTTTCGTTGCCTTTTTTTTTTTACAATCAATCTGGTTCGCAAGAGCCTATACATACAGCTCCAAAGGTAACCATCAACACGATGGGCGTATGTATACAATAGGTATACAGAGTGAGTGCAGGGGTTCAGACTTGGCACCCAAGCCCATTTGTATAATAGAATTGAAAAGGCTGTTCCACAGGGCAAGTTTTCCCGGAATCACTCCCAAAGAGTTTTACTGTTGGTTTTCCCACTGCACAACCCTAAAAGAACACGAGAGAAGATGGTCTGTAGGGACATTTATAATGTATACTTATACGTAACATCCACTGGAATTTTAGAACTCACACGCTTGTATGTTTTTCACTAAGTACATAAATGACCATAGGTATAAAATAAATAACGCCACCAACTTTGGTTTTCCTCCAAAAAATTTCCTCCAAATTTTATTTATTTAAATATTTCGTCAAACGGAGAAACGCAATGCATCACAACAACTGATGAAAGTGCAATGCATCTGTAATGAAAAATTTTTTATTTATTTTACGCATCGTTGTAAGGTATAAAAATAAAAAATAAAATTAATTCAAAACGTGTTCAGTTACCGATCCATTATTAATTACACGAATCGTTTAGTGAAAATAATTGATTGGTAAATTAAAAAAGTTTAAGAGTGACAAGATGAACGATTATGTGCTGCGTCAACAATACATAAAATCCATAGTTATATACTAAGCGTTACGTACCGGGCAAACTGTTTATCACCGAGGAAAGATAAAATCGGTAAGTGTTGCACACACGTTTGAATGAAAAAGAGTCATGCCGGGGAGCATAAAATCATCATCCCCCGAGGGTCATTATGTGAATGAACAAGCTTAGCGTCTTAATCTCCAGAGGTAGGTATATAAAACGCGAAGAGACAAGATGTCTGCTT